TTTTTTCCACCAAATTCAGCACTTTTTTATTCCATTAGCTAACAATTCTCTTATTGCCATATTAGATGCTTATTTTTATTGGAAACCAACGGGCGAGTCATAATTAAAAAAATTAAAAAAAATTTTTTTTTAATTTATGCGCGAAAAAAAGGTTATAACTTTGAACAAAGAAACCGCGAATACGGAAACAAAATACCGCGAATACTGAAGTGAGGTCACAAACAGGGTTACCGCGAATACGCAAAATCGCGAATACCGAATCCGCAAATAACGGGGTTTTCCTGTACTTGTAACCACGCGGATCATGAAATTTTTCTAATAACATCCTCCTACGCTTAAGGAGGCTCGAGCGAAAATCTTTTTCTGACAGATATGTCTGAAACTTCGCGAATTTACTCCTTTCATTTATACACATCGATCGCAACAAAAAAAGTATGGGTCAACACGCTTATTTAAGAGATAAATCCATGTAAAGTTGGTCGATTTAACATGGGTCTTATGGAAGCATCTTCATGATTTACCGTTCTTTAATCGTTCACGATTAAAGTACGTAACAGATATTGATGAAAAACTATGGCAAGAAAGAAAAAATTATAAGCTTTCGAATGATGCAACAAAAAAGGGGGGTCAACACATTAATTAATACAATATTTTAATGTAAAGAGTCGAAATCGTGAGGTTACAATGTTTTGCACGATGCGGCCACTGCACGCAAAATGGCGCGACCCGCGTGTTCGACTATGTATAAAGTGTAAACACTATAACCGTAGCAGACGTGCGCACTAGGCGCGACGCAACCGCGGTCAATGCGTAGATGCAAGAGGCACCACGCGTAGAGCGCACAAAAGCAGGACAGCTACACGCGCTCGAGCCTCCTTAAGGGGGCACACCTGTGTTTATGCTTATAAATGAAAAACATGAAATTAAGGATTACTATTAAAATTTTTTGTTTCTGATGTAATAATATGTTTTTATAGGTCCTTTTACAACAAAAATATGTCTGTAGTTCCTCTTATTATTGAAAATCATCCATCAAACATGTATATTGACTTGTGATTTCTAAGTCATTGACCGCATAATTTTGAATGCAATTTTTCCCCAATCCAGATCTTTACTGTCTCAAAAGTTTTGTAATATAATTTTTTTCTACTTAAGTGTAGCAGAATTTAAATAAAAGGCTTGGAAAATATTTTTCATTCTAAAGTACAAAAAAAAAAAACAAAAATAGCTATTTTAATAATGCTTATTGCTATATTTGGAGATTAGTAGATTAAAAAAATAACTAAATAAAAAGTCTGCTACACTTAAGTGGAAAAGAATTTTATTACAAAACTTTTGAGACAGCAGGATCCGGATTGATGAAAAATTGCATTCAAAATTATGCAATCAATGACTTAGAAATCACAAGTCAATATACATGTTTGATGGATGATTTTCAATAATAAGAGGAACTACAGACATATTTTTTGATGTAAAAGGACCTATAAAAACATATTTTTACATCAGAAACAAAAAATTTTAATAGTAATCTTTAATTTTCATGTTTTTCATTTATAGGCATGAACACAAGTGTGTCCCCTGAAGGAAACACACCGGTGTTATATCTTGTGAATTAAAAATGTCTGAGTACCACAGGCAGAATCAGCGCGGGCCTGCACTACACTTTCCACGACCTGCGCGAACATAGATAGTAATGCACTTGTTTGTATACCGTCGCCTTATGCGCACTTATGACTAATAAACCTTGTTTATTTTTTATGAAGAATTCAAATTTGTTAAAAATCATATTCATAACCTAAAAACCCATTAAGAATCAAAAACAGCATAAAAGTCCAATAATAAATTTGTTCATATCTATCGGTTATATGCATTAAATTTTACATAAAAAATCATTTTTCAACAATTGCTTCCTCATAGAGGAAGTCCTGTGATAGGCTTGAAATCGAGATTTTGAACCAGACGTTGTCGGACAATTTGGTTTACATATTTGGGAACTACATTGAATTACCAACAAAACAAATGTCTGTATGAGTTTTTGTTTTCTCGGCCTTTTGGCTAACATAGAAGTGATGGTCGTGATCGTCTGGTAGTTAGGACTCTAGACAGTGAATCGAAATTTAAAGATACGAATTTTCACGTTAATAACCGATGCCTTTTATTAATATTATTTTTTATAAGGAAGCTCTTTAATAATAAATTGGCAGCGGTTTTTTTTCATGTTCCCGCTAAGAAGCAGCAAAATTTGAAAAATTTAATACCAACTTTGAGCTCCTGTAGGTCTATGAGGGATAGACCTAGAGTCATATTTATGTTAATAAAAGTACATAATTAGTTTCAATTTCATTTTTTCAACTATCACGGTTGGCGGGATGTAGCCCATTTGTATTAGATATTTTAGCGTTCTACAGAACAAATTCAATATATAGTTACATTTAAAAATGTTTAAGGGTACACACCAGTGTTAAATCTTGTGAATAATAAAAGATGAAAATGAAATGTTAATAGTACTTTATGATATAAGTGTCCCCATGGCAAGAGTATCGTACGACATTTTAAAGTACTGTACTAACAAGGAGACCTTCTCACCTTCGGGTCAGGGATTTGCTCCAAAATTTTTTTGGGGTCTCCTGGTACCCCACACTGAAGCTTTCTGTGCTTAGTTTGATCTCACGGGCCTTAGGGCCCATTTTTTAGAGGCTTTTCCACATTATAAAAACATCTTTGTTATTTTCCATATCGATGTAGAAGTACTTAAACGAAAAAGTGCAACGATAAAAAGTTTTTTAATTTTTCAAAGAATCTGCTTGAATTTTTTCAGAATTTTTGGGACCATCTATCACTTAATTCAAGAGGCCCAAATTGGACGCTTTTTTAATAGATTTTAGGACTTTTTAAAGAGAGTGGTAGATGGTCCCGAAAATTCTGAAAAAATTCAAGCAGATACTTTGAAAAATTTTAAGACTTGTGATAGTTGCATTTTTTCGTTTAAGTACTTCTATATCGATATAGAAAATAACAAAGATTTTTTCATAATGTGGAAAATCCTCTAAAAAATGGGCCCTAAGGCCCATGAGATCAAACTAAGCACAGAGAGCTTCAGTATAGGGTACCAGGAGACCCCTAAAAAATTTTGGAGCAAATCCATGACCCGAAGGTGAGAAGGTCTCCTTGTAAGTTTACATTTATGCCCCTTTTCCCTGCAACGTCCTTCGACGAATAGCCTACGCCAAGACAACCCGCCCATTCCGCGCTCTGACTTAACGCGCCTACAAGCACCGATCCGGCCTACAAGACGCATCGTTGAAATATTCAAAATAAAAAATATTTTAAAATCAAAAAATATATCTCGCTGTCTTACTTGTACATATTTTCTAACTTGTAGTTCTAGCGTATAACTTACATGCTCGAACGACCGTTACATCTCGAGACGTTCTATTACTTTTCACACCTTTCACCAAGCCATGTGTTCACCGATAAAAACAGATTTCGACATCGAACAATCTCGATCTTTTTACATGTAGTTCTGATGAATAATGTTTTAAACTAAAATTATACCACCATGTAGTAGTAATTATTACTAAATACTAATTGTTGAGACGAGTACATCGATACCAAACTCAACCGCTTCCACAGTTAGATTCACTATAATAGCGGACTCAAGAGTCGCCGGATTATTTCATTATGATATATTAAACATTGTTTTAACTATGAAAATATCATAAACGTAAATTAATAACAACCACCAGAGTAAATAAACAAATAACATAAAACGTTATTTGCTACATTTTTGTCGCCGTTTGACAGACCTACTCAATATTATCAATTAAACATTTGCGACCCGAAAGAATTTTATTATGTGGGACCTCTTGTACTCACGCTGATTTCTCCGAGGAGGTTCTGGGCCTTCCGCCGGGTTTGGGCCGAGCTGTTGGCCCCAGCGACTCACCTTTCGAATCGGCCGAGGAAATCTCAATTTGTCGCGAACTCCGCGAAAATCCTTGTAATTTTGCAATATTGCTCTACGCGCTGAAAAGAGGGAGTCTAGGGAATTTACAACAAAATAACGAATTAATAATGACTCGCGAGATTCAATTTCAAAAATCTAGTCACTTTATTTCACTTTTAACATTGGCCACCAGGTGCGCTGGTGGCGTTCTTGTTTGCCTTCCGTGGCCGAACCTTTGCTCCGCAGCAATAGGTTACGTCGTGACTCTCTTATTTTACTTGGCCAAAATGGCCGTCGCTACGTACGCGTGGTCGAACGAGCTCGGCCGACGCGCGCGTGCTTCGCTCGTCGACCTGTAGCCACGTGGCTACTCCGCGAGACCGCGTCTACGCCGCGCCGTACACCTGCGGGTTATCCTAATTATGCAACACGGCAGTGTGCCGTCGATTCGCACACACACACTGAGCTTGCCGCCGCTGCGGTGACTCTCACACGCACACACACAATCTCGATACACGCGCGAGCACGATGACGCAATCGTGCACACGGCCAAGCGACCGACCACCTAAATAATCTTAAGGAGGTTCGATAGCACTTTCAAGGGGCAGGCGGGGCGAGGGGGTCGCCTATGCTTATACACGGGCGCGAAGCAGTGATACCAACTCATGGGAACAAAATATGATGAGCAAAAAACTAACTATATATCAAGAAAATTGATATTTTAGGATGAAAATTGTTCTTATTATTTATTATTTTATTCATACCGAACATATATTTTATGAAATTATCATGAAATTTGATAAAAAAATATCATCATTTATGACGAGGAAATCTGTCAACAGCGCGTTCCCACAGTATGTACCAACTTATTATGCGTGTGACGGGTGGCCTTACTATTGGGGTAGAAAATTCCTTCAGTCACCTGTTGATGTGTTCTTTAGTTGTAAAAAATGGATAAATTACCGAGGTATAAAGGTAAAGTAAGGAGTAAAAAGCAATACGAACGACGTATGCGTATAATTGAGAGTACAAAGCTTCGCCATTCTCGCAATAGTAACTCGAAAGAGCCAGAAGACTTTGCGCATGTGATTGAGGGCCGTCGAGTGATTGAGTTTGGGGTTATGGCAGCATGTATGTACTGCAAATCTTGCAAAAAAGATCTGTCTCTGGTGAATATACAAGGTGAAAAACGTGTGGGATTAACGTCAATTTTATCTGTTCGATGTAAAGAATGCTTTGACATCACTTCTGTGCCTACTGGAAAAATTCACTCTAGTTCATCAGGATCTACAAGTAAATTATGCGACGCAAACTCAAAAGCCGCTCTAGGTACGTAGTGTTTCTTGTAACTCTTTTTATACTATTTCTTTACTGAATTGATATCATACATGAATTTATTTTTTATACTTATGTATATCATTAAAGCTATGTGAAGGAGATATGATTTAATTGAAAATAATTAATAGTCAATGATATAACATTTATTTTTGATTGTTTTATGATTGCAGGTGCTCTCCATGCAGGGTTTGGACATACAACATTAAACAAATGGTTGTATACTATGAACATTCCAAGTATGACCAGTACAACTTTTAAGAAGTATGAGAGAGAAGTAGGACCTGTCGTGGAGTCCACAGCAAAAGAAAGTTGTTTAGAAGCATGCGAAGAAGAAAGGCAATTGACTCTTGCTCGCTTAAAGGAAGATGAAGCAAATTTGTAAGTTTGTAATCTGTGTTATTGTGTTTATGTGTACTGTGTTATTGTGTCTGTGTTTATGTTTATGTGTACAATGTATTAAAAAAAATGTAGACATCCTGAACGATGTAAAAAAAAATCATGTATTAAATTTTTATGGACAAATTGAATCAAGACTAATTATTTAATATTATAAATGTATTTTATAACAGCTGAAATGTTTTTATTTTTCCTTAGACTCCGACTACCTCTTCAATGTTCTACAATTTCTTCAACATCTTCTAATACTCTGTCTGCACCATCTTTAAATCCCAGCTTCACACTGCATAATTCTACAGAAAAAGTAGATGAAAATGGCAATGAGATAGTTTCAATATCAGCGAGCTTCGACCAGGGCTGGAATACGCGCTCAAATGGATATGTGTACGATAGCTTGAGTGGCACAGGACACATGATAGGAAAAGAGTCAGGAAAAGTTATCGAATATTCAACAAGAAATCGCAAATGTCGCATGTGTGATGCAGGTCATGATCCAAACGATCATGACTGCAGGCTCAATTACTATGGCACAGCTAAGGCTATGGAATCTGATGTTGCTGTTCAATTAGTAACATCAAGCTCAGTTCTCAAAGAGAAAAACGTAGAAATTGGAGTGTTTATTGCTGATAATGACAGCTCTGACTTTAGTGCAATAAAAAAAGCAGCCAAACACAATGTGGTAAAGCAGGCTGATCGTAATCACACTGTCAAGGGTGTAAAAAATCTGCTGTATAAAGTAAAAGAAAATAAAAACAAGGATCCTGATCAAGAATTGACACATGAGACCATTGAATACTTACGTTATTCATTCAGTTGTGAAATAGGACGGAATGAAGGGAACTTGGAAGGACTGACAGCTGCCATAAAAAATATTCCAAATCATGTATTCAATATTCATGATAACTGCAATAGTCAATGGTGTCGCTATGAAAAAGATAAGGAAAATTTTGAATTTCGAAGAATCGGAAGTGGATTCAAAAATGCAGTTTTATTTGAAGAGTTAACAATTTTATTCGATAAATTATCTGGGAAAGCAGAGCTGTTTGTTTTTAATGGCTCTACTCAGAGTAATGAAAGTTTGAACAATATTATTGCCAGAAAAGCTCCTAAGGGCTTGTCTTATGGACAATCCGAGTCTTACGATTATAGAGTAGCTTGTGCAATTTTACAAAAAAACGAAGGGGAAAAATATGTGCAGAATGTCATGACTAATTGTAATTTGAGTCCTGGAAGTAACACCGCAAAGCATTGCGAACGCATCGAAAAGTCTGCTCAAATGAGAGCGAACATGGCAAAAACGTCAGCTGCCAAGCTTCGTCGGAACGAGCTAAGAAGAGATAGATCTCAACTTAAAAATAAACGTGAATGTATAGAAGGACAAACCTATGAAAGTAACATGGATTTAATGCAATCACATGCACCTGAAAATAACGATAATATTACTGAATTAGAATCACAATTTTATTGTGATGTTAATAGCGATTGTTATGCTTTAGTTTTTTTCGATACCGAAACAGGAGGTTTTCATATGAATGATGATGTATTGCAAATAGGACTCAAGTACAAAAAATTTGTATTTAATCGATATATCAAACCAACAAAATGTATTAATCCAAAGGCATCTGCGTCTAATGGTCTAACAAACGAATACGGTACTTTATATTTGCGAGGCGTTAGAATTGAATCATCACCTCTGAAAAAGGTTATTGAGGATATGCTTGTTTTTCTGAAAGAAATCGGCAAACCTTGTATACTAGTTGCTCATAATGCTAATTTTGATGCCCAAAGACTTTTAACAAAAATTAAATCATTATCAATGATTGAGGATTTTGATGAAATATTGATTGGTTTTACTGATACTTTGCCGTTATTTCATAAATCTTTCCCAGACCAAAAAAATTCAAAAAACGGATATAAATTAACTGTACTAGTCGAACTTTTTACTAATTTATCTACTAAAAATGCCCATGATGCGATAGAAGATGTATTATTCTTAGAAAAATTAGTGTATATGTATCTTAATTATAATGATCATATTGATAATTTAAAAACTGTTGATCATTATATGGAATCTCTAAAGAAAAAGGATAGAGTTTATATGCATATAAAATCGTTAGGTCCTTTAATGGGAATGATATCTAATGAAATGTTAAAAAGATTGGCTTCTGCCGGAATATGTTATAATATGTTAGTTGATGAGTTCCTAAAAGGAGAAGAAACTGTGATAAATTTACTTCAGAAACGAATCGATGGAAAATCTGAAGTAATGAAGAGTCCTAAAATAATAAATGATATATTGTTCTGTTTAAAACTTTTAATTGATTAATAATGTTCACCAATATTAAGAGTCATAAAATAATAAATTATACACTCGGCAACAAAATTATCGCAACAAAAAAATTCATCGAAATTTTGTCGATTTTCAAATGCTTCTATCTTGGGCTAGATTTATCGTATCGACACACTTTTTTTTTTAATTTCTTGGAAATTTTGTCCTCTTTAAATCCATATAAATTAAGATAAGATTTGAGTTAATGTTGAGTTACCAGTAGTATTTGAGCGTGACCCTAAAAATTACTGAAAAAAAATGACTGTTTGAACGTGTACCAGTACCACAGTGATTTTTTTATCGAAATCTAACATACACCATCGCAAAGTGCTCTTTTTAACGAGTAATTTAAAAAAAAAAGGACCTCTCTACGAGTTTTTTAACGCCCTATAGGTCGATTTGAAGATACCATTTAAAGTACGTAAAATCCCCCGTTTACCTGAAATCAAGACGATTTTCTGGGCATTTTGCGTACATAAACCGTACCTTCAAATCGATCTACAGGGCGTTAAAAAACTCGTAGAGAGGTCCTTTTTTTTAAATTACTCGTTAAAAAGAGCACTTTGCGATGGTGTATGTTAGATTTCGATAAAAAAATCACTGTGGTACTGGTACACGTTCAAACAGTCATTTTTTTTCAGTAATTTTTAGGGTCACGCTCAAATACTACTGGTAACTCAACATTAACTCAAATCTTATCTTAATTTATATGGATTTAAAGAGGACAAAATTTCCAAGAAATTAAAAAAAAAAGTGTGTCGATACGATAAATCTAGCCCAAGATAGAAGCATTTGAAAATCGACAAAATTTCGATGAATTTTTTTGTTGCGATAATTTTGTTGCCGAGTGTATATTGTACTGTTTCAAAGTTGAAAGATCAAATGTTGGAATACAATTTTCATCATTTTCAAGGTTCATAAGATCATAAATAAATCATTATACTGTTTAATAATTATAATAAAAAATGTTTAACTATAATGTTCACCATTAAATGTTTTTCTTATGAATAAACAATTCTAAATTTATATTTATTAAAACTGTTTTATTCGTAAACCCTTGTAAATAAATAATATTTTATAAGAAACGTGCATGTTTTTATCGTGTCCTTGCGCCTATATACTCGGCTAAACGCCGTATTTGCTTTGCGACGTTGCCATGTTTCTCGTATGTGTGATGGATCGCTCGATACATTGCATTAAAACGCTTGTAATTATATTGTTTATTGAGCATTCGGTGTTGTAAAACGGGTCGTTTTTTTTTTCAAAATGATCTATACCTTCTTGGCTTTCTAAAAAATAGTTTTTTTTTAATTTCTTAAGACTAATTCGTTTGCAAAATGCTTTTATTGTGGCATTGTCGTAAAATTCCCCATAAGACCCATGTATAAGACATCGTTTTTGATTTTTTTTTTCTCCAAAACTAGTTTGTGGATCAATCTAAGATTTTAACAGCATATTCATTTCTTATCAAAGATTGAAACAAAAAAGTTTCAGACATTTCTAAAGACATTAAGTTTACTATCGAACCTCCTTAAAGCTAACCTCTTCGCCGGCTCTTCAGTAGATGATGCCCTGGCAAAGTCCTTTGCTGTCGTGGCCTCCGTCGCCTGCACTCCGTGGCAAAATTCATGTGTCTTGGCATAGGTGGCTTTCGAGTTCGTATCGGCACCGCGTGTCTCGAGGCCAAAACTAGCCTCACTTTCTGGCGGTCGTCCTTGGCACTCACTGTGCTTCTCGCACGACACTCGCACTCGAAACGAACCTTTTTTTTTGTCGGCGAGCTCTTTGCTTTGAACCGAACTGCACTGTCGCGAACTGCTGTTGTTAGCGTAAAACGACTAAAACACAACGAAAAACAACTAACTTTTCCTCTGTTGGCTTCGCACGTGCACACTCTTGCTTGGCTCGTGGTAATCTGCCTTGCGTGGCGTTGTCTGCGGCGCAGTAGATTGCGCAGTAGTCACGTGACTCGGCTACTGCTCTTGTGCGGCCTGCGTGCTTCTGCTCGGCCTAGGCTCGTAAAATATCGAGATGCGGCTTGTTGTCTTGGCGTCGGTGTTGCGTCCTCGATCTGCTCCGCTCGTCTTCTTCTTGGCCTGAAACCTAGGCTACGAGAAAATACGCGAAATCATTCACTCGTGCATTCTCGCGACGAAGAGATCTCGCGTGGTGCTGGTGTACGGGCTGCCCTCGGTCAGGCGCGACGTTTGAGCTCGCAGGCATGTGCTTCGTCACACATTATATCAATTTATGCTAAACAAATTCGAAGCACAGTTGTTCAATACATCAAATTTATATTCAATTTTACAATTGTACATTATTGTATACGTATATTTAGTGTGACTAGAGATAATTTTAAAATATAAATTGCTAACGATTAATATCAACTCATACCTGAATTATACAATTAATTATTGCCTGCATAGTTAAGTATACGTGCGCATCAATTATATAAAATATTAATATCAATAATTGTCAACTAGCTAAGTATTTATTTAAGCTACATTGTTACAAAGTATATGAAAATTATTATTAACAATCATTTTGTATTTAACTATGTATCATGAGGTATCGTTCGAAAGGAAAATTTCCCTACAATCCTAATTTCCAACTCCCTTATTTTTACTAACTATAGTTTTCCAGCTTCTCCAATTTAA